AACATTACTATTTCTAGATATGGAATGAATAACATTCAATACAAAATGAACATGTCTCGTATATAGAAATAATGTTTTAAGTGATGAAACATTTGCTTTGTTGTGCATAATCCCACCATGCATTTAGTCATATACAAAATAATTTATTGAAGCATCCAGACACTTCACCACGTGAGCAAGCAGCTAGGCTCCTGATTGGTTAACGCGGCGCGAATTCACGCCAAAGTTCAGATTTTTCAACTCGGGCGGCAGACGCGAATTCGCGTCAAACGCGTGAATGCACAACGCTCAATTCGCGCCATTCGCACCAACTTGACGCGCGAATGAGGCGTATTCGCGTCTTCCGCGCCGCGCTCCACGCCTCATTCGTGCCGCAGGAATTTTTCCACGCGCGTAAAGCGTCTTTGCATTGACTTAACATTGAAATCATTCGCGCCTGACGCCCTATTCGCGTCCGGTGTGAACGTAGCATAAGCACTAACTCGCAGTTATAATTAAATGCACTGGGTGGCGCTGTCGAGTGTGTTAACAAGTTGTCGGTATTTGATCACATAATGTTGTCGTCTGCCTCGCGAAGTTTGGAATTACTTAATGATCTTACTAAATGGAATTACTTTTGATCAAATTAATTAATTAATCTGAGTTATAATATCATCACCACAATGAGAAATCACATGAAATCCAAACAGTCGAATGAGAAAAGATAGTAAGTAAGCCTTTATCTTAGCTGTCCATCACTGCATCACGACTGCAGGTAAGCGCAGCTGGACATCGCGTGATCCAAGATGTTAACTTATCTAAAAGCAAAATGATTTTGAGACATACTTCCTTTAAGTTTTGTTGAGGGAGACCGGTTTTAGAACAGAAAATGCAAAGTGCTGTTAGAAACTTAGAACACCGTTCTCTTTGTGTCTCTGAAACGTCTGTCAGCAAAGTGCCTTTCTTATAGACGAATCCGACGAGCGTTCTGTGTAGGCTGCCATCTTGTGGCGACGCCATTACTGAGCTGTTACACAGGCATATAGACATATGCACCGGTATGTAAACAAACCTCGGTGATAACGCGAACTCACCCTCGATGACAGCTACAGCCAGGCAGAATGACTTGTTGGTTTGATCTGTGACTGCAGTGGCCTCCAGTCACAGATGAAGGTACAAACGATCTTACAGATTAACGTTATTTATGAAAATAGCTTGGCAAGCTAGCTAGGCTAACGTTTGCTAACGAGGAAACTATAAAAAGATCTGTCCATTTGGCAACAATAAATAAATAAATGAATGAAATCAAATAAACAAATTCATGTTTTTCATTTGTGTCCATTATTTATCTCATTTTCACATTGCAACAGGCAAGGGTAAGGTAACGTTACAGCTATAAAGTATACACAATATCGACCAATTAGTGTTTTTAAACCATGGAAAGAGGTCAGTATAACAGCAGGAGAACAATTATGTCACATAACGTTACATTTAGCTCAGGAAAGCCATTTAATGACCATAGCATGTTAATTGAATAGAAAAAATAGCAAGAGAGGAGATTTTGCTGATCACTATATCACATATTTATTATATATTTTTTACTTATGTCATTAAATAATTGTTATTATACGCGAATGTCCACGTCTTGTACTCGCCCAGGAAATCTGTAAACCGTACGGCACCAGACAGGGGCAGTCGACCCGGGGTATTCACAGTGTTTTCTCTTCAAAATTGAAATTTTACTGACACCATTAAAACAATTTATAACGGAAACTGTTTACCCACTCGACATTATACAAGGGATAACGTTGTAACGTTAGTGACAGTCGTAAATCGCGGGCTGTTTATTCCAGTGGACGCAAGTTGCAACTAAAACAATAGGAGGCAATGGCGCAACGCTACCCAGCAACAGCTCAGTAATGGCGCCCCGCTTACTTCCGGTAGTTTCGCCGGATTCGTCTATATGATGATTATCATATAATCATATGCTGACTCGTGTGTGTGTGTGTGTGTACGTTCTGTACGATATCTGGCACAATCTGCTTTATTAGGCTTTTTTTTTTTTCCGCTTGCGCTGCTTGAGCATTAGTTATTCTCTAGTGATGACTTCTGATAACTTTGGAAGCACAAGTCGGCGGCTTGTGTACGTACAGTAAGGAACAGATAAAAGACTAATGTTTAAGAAGTACAGCATTTTAATTTTCTCAAGAAACACTATAGGGGCTTTTGCACCAGATAGTTATAGGAACTAACCACCAGGGTGATTCCCCGAGAACTAATGGTCCCTCTTGGAACTGGGCACACCCCCAGTAGGCACTCTGAAGTGATGTAAGCCGCACTGCGTCACTTGTTGTTGTTAACTTATTTTAAAGGTGTGGGGGACCTTTATTTTGATGGCGCTGAGAACGCCAGAGAATGAGCACACAGTGCTCGCATTCTCCCTGTTCTTTAGTTTATGATCTAATTAGTTATTAGGGTTTGCCATGTGGTTGATGTCCAGTGTCGCCAGCTGAGCAGAAATACATAATCGTGCCAAAAACTGGGAACTTCTGCCAGTAGTTCTTTGAACTATGAAAAGGTTCCTCCTGTGTGAAAGCCCCAAGTGTCCATAAAGTCTCACATTATTTTTGTATTTGAGAAGTGGAGAATAGTCTTTGCTGTGTAGTTGAAGTCAAATACCGTTTAAAATATCCTGTGCATAGTACTTCATCTTTTGTATAATGAGATTTGATCATGATATTTCAACAACAAGAAAATGCAAACAGTTACAATAAACTATATCCTGTATTATTATATTATTTGAGTTTGAGAAATATGTGGTTTCTTGAGAACTGCCATGCCTGTGATATTGAATACCGCTTGTTTAATGACCTAGATTCCAGATTACCCCTCCACTGATTTGTTTGCTCTTATACCTGTATTCACCTGTGTATAGTAATTTGGGAGGTAGGAAGACCGATGCCACTTTTTGTCTGATCTTTATTGCCTGGTTTGGATTAGGGAGTTTGGTAAGTAATAATTTGATTAGTAATTGGAAGAAATTCTATTTTTGTTTACTATTTTGGGCTCTGTTAGTGCCTGAAGCCAAATCCCCAATTGACCTATGGGTAAGCCACGCCCTCAAACGTGATGAGCCAATCACAGTCCGCAGCTAACCCAATACACTCGGACATTCTCTGCTTCCACTTCCACTGCATTGGAGTTAGTCAGTTTTCATTCGTTTTTTCTTGTTATTTTAAGTTTAAAATGGTCAAACAGTGTGCATGGGGTACATGCAACTCGGTTCATGACACTAGGTTCCTGAGAGGCTGGGAGACGGTGTGTATTTTTTTTACCCTTTCCCAAGCCACATCTCAACCGTGATAAGTGTCTGCTCTGGATAAAGTTATGCGGTAGCTAGACCACAACACCAACTAAACGCGGATAAATTAAACAAGGATGTCTACATCTGATCTAAATTAAGTCAACATCGTATTTGACCGTTATCTTTTAACCCTCTAATGTAACGTTAGTCTAACGTTAGACGTACTCACGTACATTAGAAAACATTAACGTTAGCTTCTAGCTGCGTTGTACATCATGTCAATTAGCTTCATTAACGTATCTGTAAATAACCGAGATAACAAATGTTAGCAATGTTGTGCTGAATGATTCATGTAAATCCTGTAGCACCAAACGGTGATGGCAACGATATGCGGGTTATCATGTTTACACTTTATAAAGCATAAATGCTATTAACCATAAATGCTATTAGCATAAATATAAATGCTATTAGCATAAATTTATAAAGCATGAATGCTATTAACCCCATTGACAGGTAGGTTTAGGGACGGGTTTGGGGTAGGTCCTATATTTATATATATACAGTAATGTAACATTAAGTCAGCGGCGTTCATAAACATGCTGAAAAGCGATTATGCTTGTTGATGGCACGCCAAAAATGAAATCGAGTAGACTCTGCTGGAATACTTATTCTGTCCAGGGCCCACTGCATCTTGTTCACATTCATCTAGCAATTAATTCAATTGTAAGGTTACAAATCATTGATGAGACGATCTTGGTGCTGCAGCATTCATACACGCACACACACACATATATATATATATTATTAACAACAGTTGACATTATAACAGTATATACATATAAAATAAACAAATATTTTCCCTGGTAAGGCCGTGTGATATTAAGTGCCATTAATGGGTACTCCAGAAAGGTATTTTTAAAAATGAATATTAATCTCTTAACTAATGTATTCTTTGCCTTTATAAATACTAATTAAATTAATGATGTTTATAATCACTTTTTTATTTTTATTGAATGCTTCTCAAATCTGTTCTGGGGAACCTCCTTTCCCACACTGCACATTTTGGGTGTTTCCCTCTTCAGACACACCCAATCTTGTGGTCTCTATTGATGAACTGATGAGTTGAATCAGGTGTGTCTGATAGGTGGGGAGGTTTGTGCTATAATAACAAAAATAGCATTTTGTTTGTCCATCTTGTGTAAAAAATAAATAAGTAAACAGGATTGAGGATTTGGTCCTGCCTACAGTATATAACATATATAAATGGTGCATCATGTATAGTATAGTATATAGTATAGGCTAGTATAATACATTGAATGTATTTTTAAATTCTGAAATATTACTTATCGCCATGGTTTATATTAAAAAAAAATTCTCCTGTTGCTATTTCTGTCTGTTCTGTTTTTGTTTTGCCCTGCCCTGCTATAAATGTGCTATATAAATCAAATTTACTTACTAAATTTCATGTGAAGTGTACACATTTTTGCATATATTGAGCCCAAAGTGTAAATTCAGTTATAGTAATCATGGAATTGTTTTTAAACGACTATTTGAGCAAAACATTTGCACCTGACCTGAATAATATCGAGTGATTATAAGTGTGATGATCATCTGCTTAATGAGCAACATCGAACACAATTCACTCCTTCAGTCAGTGAAGCTCCCACAGCCGTTCATGAGAGTTTAAATGCTGGGGAATATTCCCATCTTCCCACAGGAGAAGAAGAAGCAAGCAGGAGGAATTACTCCAGGAGAAACTACGGACATACTATTGTAAAGATGGAGATTAAGGAAGAACCCTGCAGAATAAAAGATGAAGATACAGAGGAACAAATAGGTTGGTGTTTTCCTTCATTCTCTTTAATGACTGATGAGGAACATAAGATGAAAACTCACATATAACAATAACATCTAAAACTAGATACTAGTAGACTAGCCCTAAAACAGCTGTGCAACGTGTCTCATGAGATACGTAAGTTTTATTGTATTTTTTGGGGCATAAGAAATATTTTTTTTCATCAGCTATTTTATCACTTAAGAAAGCTTGGTCTGTCTTGAGGATGCTGGTCACACGATTTGCTTCAAACTTTTTGTGATCAATTAGTCGGCCTGACCTAAATCCAACATGGCTGCCAGTGGTGCAGAACATTCAGATATTTAGATAAGTAAATATATATTAAACTTACTTTTTTTCTGAAAAAAAAAAGATGCTAACATTAATTGGGAACATTGGCTTAAGGTGCTGAAGGAGAAAATTAAGTAATATATTGTTCATGTTGTTATTTAGCATGTTTTGAAATGTATGTGTCTCCTGAGACACATTGCCTGTTTAAAAGGGGATTAAACTAGGTCTATTTAAAATGCACTATTCAAACTTAAATGATTGTAATTCAAGAAAGCTTTGGAATATAGACCTGATTATGGTCTTGTTTTAAGGAATCAAAGCCATATATCTAACCAAGTTTTAAGTTGATATCATCAAAATTGAAGTTCCCATGAGATTTTGTTCAGGCATAACACCAAAAATAGCCATCCGTTGACTTAAATTCCTTTGAATTTAATTGTATGCATTCTGCGATAACAAATTAATCAACTTCTGTCCAAATATCACGTCACAAAATATGGAACCTTGAGACTCAGACATTTCTGACAATATGTGTTTTGTCAAGATTAAAAAAGGTTTTGATCATAAATTATGAAACATGACGATGCCCAAAAGGGGAGGAGCCCATTGAAACAATTTAGAGTATCATTTCTATAGCAACACAATGTCCAATTTCAAAACAGGTTTCTTGATGATATGTGATATATGATATATAATATATATATATATATATATATATATATATATATATATATATAATTTGTAAACATTAGATCAGGTGAAGAATGGGATATAATTGTTTTAAACATACAGTGGCAGAAACGGTTAACAGATTAATGGTCCTTTTTATACCCTAATCAGGCAACATATGTCAGGAGACAACTCATAAAATACAAAATATTTCAAATTTAAAAATATATATTTTTTTGGATATGTTTTATTTAAGTCCAGATTATATATAAATGAAATTAAATTATTTTTTGCTAAGCATTTTCCACGCTTGCCTGTTTAAGGGCTAGTAGAAAATTGGGATTTTTAGCAATGTTTATTTTTGTTTCTCATGTATCCTTTTATTCAATTATGGGAATTATTTTTTTTTTTTTATTTTAGACCTGAAGGAAATGAATGAAGACAAACTCCATCAGTTTCAAAAACCTCATTCTTTCACAAATGAAGATGGACACACAGTCGTTTTAAAGACTGAAGAGAATTTCACTCAGAAACAAGCTGGAAAATCTGGAGTCAAAGGATCTTTAACCTGCTCTGAGTGTGGAAAGAGTTTTGTAAATGAATCAGACCTGAACAAACACATGATGATTCACAATGGAGAAAAGCCTTATACATGCTCTCAGTGTGGAAAGAGTTTCAGATATAAAGGACAACTAAATGATCACCTGAGAATTCACACTGGAGAAAAACCATTCACATGCTCTCAGTGTGGAAAGAGTTTCGGTCGCAAAAACTCTCTCAACATTCATTTGCATTATCACTCTGGAGTGAGATCATTCAGCTGTGATCAGTGTGATAAAACATTTGTTTTGGAATCAAGCTTAAGAAGACACCTTAAAGTTCATTCTGCTGTGAAGCCTCACTTTTGTTCTGTATGTGGAAAGAGTTTTTCACAACTTGTATCTTTAAAACTACATGAGCGTATTCATACTGGTGTGAGACCTTATGTGTGCTGTGGAAAGACCTGCACTTCATCCAGCCACTTAAAATCACACGAGAGAGTTCACACTGGAGAGAAACCGTACAAGCGTTCACACTGTGGAAAGAGTTTCACTCGGTCGGGACACCTGAAAGTTCACGAGAGAGTTCATACTGGAGAGAAACTGTACAAGTGTTCACACTGTGGAAAGAGATTCTCTCGGTCAGGACACCTGAAAGATCATGAGAGAATTCATACTGGAGAGAAACCGTACAAGTGTTCACACTGTGGAAAGAGTTTCACTCGGTCAGGACACCTGAAAGTTCATGAGAGAGTTCATACTGGAGAGAAACCGTACAAGTGTTCACACTGTGGAAAGAGATTCTCTCGGTCAGCACACCTGAAAGATCACGAGAGAGTTCATACTGGAGAGAAACCGCACCAGTGCTCAACATGTGAGAAGAGTTTTAGAAATTTATCTAATCTACTGAAACATAAGAGAAAGCATTGCCCAAAGGTGTCTAAGTGATCAAAGTTCACTTCCATAACTTGTTAATAAGCAAAAGAAAAAACTACATTTAATACACCAATTTAATCTAAAATTAGTTTTGAAGTTTGATTTTTTTTTTGATAAGGGGAACCGGTTTAAATGGTTGTGAACTGCATTGTAAGTGTTGCATGTGGTGTTCCTCCGACACCCGTATTGATCCTCTGTTGCACATGCGCAGTGTTACTGTATACAAGATGAACTGAACAGTAAAGCAACAATGTGAAAAAGTGTCAGTGTCATCGCTCAAGCAGTTATTACTACTATATGCATCCCATACTGGGACTGCTTTCACCGCATCAACAATAACAAGGTTGAAGCAATGCGCATTACAGTGGACATAAAAAGCACCTTTAGCCTCTGCTTTGATCCTCGATGCAACCTCACTGTATTTCTACCAGAAAAACTCTGCAGTTATTTATTTTTCAGACTTTCCTCAGTCAAGAGGGCACCAAATTAAAAAATTCTTTTATATTTCGACTACATATATGATCCACTTTCAATAAAGATTAATGTTGCAATGAGTGAAATGCTCCTTTAAATGAACACTGATTTTGCTTATTAGACTGGTGTTCTTTTCTAAAACAGCTTTGCTCCTTTTAATCATTTCTGCATTTAGAGTTCAAGGAGACCAAGGAGTCGGAAATGTAGAGATCGCTAGGTGCATGTTTTCTGTGCAAGGCTGTGGGAGGCGAAGTTTCATGTCAGGAAAAAGCCTGCATAACCAGCCTAACCCTAACCCATGAAAATTAATTCAATAGTCATACCCTGAGCTAAATATGAGCATTCTATTTTTAAGGGTAACGGTGTACTCAACATTTAAGCAATTAGGTCCTGTTAATCAAATTAATACACACTGTTTTGTATGCATTTCTCAGTATTGAACGCATGACATGTGGATGGCTGTAACCAACATCTGTGATGTTTTACACCAGACTGATCTCATGAAGTAGCGTGTGTATGACACGCCAATTCGTATTTCCATTTTTGGCGTGCTATCAAGACGCATAATCGCCTTTCAGCGTGTTTATGAACGCCGTTGACTTAACGTTATATAAATATATGACTTACCTCAACCCCGTCCCTAAACCTAACCGTCACTGGGGTTAATGGCATTTATGACTGTTCCCTTACCATCCTAGGTAAAAAAAAGATATGACTTACCTCAACCCCATCCCTAAACTTAACCGTCACTGGGGTTAATGGCATTTATGACTGGAGATTTGACAGCGTGTTCAGACACTCGGAATGACGCGGACGTTAATGGCGTAGACATATACGCATACACGCGGATAGCTGAAAATGCGTAGAGATAACACGCCACCTGACTCGAAAGTGGCGTATATGTTTACGCAAAAGTCATGATGTCATGTTGTTTGCACACTCTCGAAGAGGAAGGATTGGGGATCCAGCCAACAGCCTCCACATGTTTTGTTGTCATTATGTGTTCCTGCCACGGCCAGCCTTGATTCCTTCACTTGTGGGAATTGTCTCAGGCAATTGAACCCCCAACCAAATGTGGGAAATCGGGCATATTCAAAAACTTGTTGATCCACCAGAAACTGAGGTATTGTCTATAATTTGACAGAATAAGTTCTGTTCCACAACATGCATTTACAATGATGGCTAACATATTGCAACAATAAAATGTAAATATGTCCATAAAGTTTTATACAATTTTTTTTTTCACGGAATACTCGAGATGAAGACTCTGACTGGGACAGTCCTTCCTTTCGGAGGAATTGTAGTTCCTCCAGTTGATCATACAAAAAAGGAGAAACTGAAAGCCCAGCTGCAAGCTGTTGTTGACCGAACATCACAATCTCAAAACTATGGCAGGGACAAATATTTAGCGGCATTACGTTTTGTACTCCTTCATTCATAAATGTCAATGCAATGTTTACAATGTGTCCCCAATAAAGAATAAAACCAGATATAGTAAAAATTAAACTGTTGATGAACCTTGATTTTACTAAACAGAACAGTAAGAACATTTAGCAATTCATTTCAAGATTCTAAATTTTACTATATGCTGGAAAGATATTTATGGAATAATAAAAATAAATAAAATTGATAAACAAAATAGACTTTGCCTGTTTTCTTTCTGGTTTTAGGGGTACAATAATAACATTTTACCGCATATAGCAGTATTCTATGTCCTGGACATGTACATAGGAGCAATACAGCTATATATTTTTTATTAATAGCTACATTTAAAAGGTTAGTTCACACAAAAAGTTCACAGAAGTAATTACTGACAGAATTTTCATTTTTCGGTGAATTAAACCTTTAATATGGAATTGTATCCTCAAATTTACACTCTGTAAATTTACACACTTAAATGCAAAATCAGAGTTGATAGCCTGCAGCGTGATTTCCTTAAATGAATTGTAGTTTTCCGTGTGTGCTGCTGGAAAGGTAATTTTTCTGGCACAGGCACTTACCACTGGGTAGCATATCCGGTGTGCAGGTTAGCATGCATAGTCTTTTGCATCGCTTATAAATATTTCTACATTATATGGTGATCAGACTCCACAACTGTTCACCTCCGGTAATTGCCGCCTTTTGCCCACATCCACCCTCATCTCCCAGGACCTGGTGTTTTGAAGGAGATTGAGTTTTGATGATTTAATTGAAAAGGGCCTTGCTCCCTCCTTGACAAAGGTGATTGCCCTCTTCAAGCCTGTACAGGCAGGCTTCCTGCATCTTCCTGCATCTCTCGTGTCCTCTTTTGCCCACAGAGCTTGCAGTTCGGATCTTCCTCAGCCCCAATACATGTAAGTGTGCTGGCGAAGGAAGGGTGTCATAGACAGATCGCAGGAGGAAGGACATTTGGTAGGGCTCCAGCTGCCACAGCTTTTGCCAAGAGATCTTGCTCTCGGGAAGGTCCCATTGTGTCCATGCGCTCTGGGATCTTTGTTCCACTCCCCTTGCCATCTGCCTTTCCTCTTCACAGGCCCGCACCTCAGCCTGAACCATCTCCTGCCTGCTCTTTACAAATGCACTTCTTCATTGCTGGAAATGTGCAGAGCCGAGTCCTCTCCATCCAACGCAAGGGCTTCCAGGGATGTCAAATAGCCTCAAAGCACTCACCGTCTGCTCTACTGCTGTACTGACTAACCATTTGCATCCAGACCTGGTTGTGACCCCTACTTGCCTCACCAGGTCGTCTTTGGAATCTCTGAGGCTAATCAGGACTCTACTCTTAAACTTCTCTACGGCAGAGGACAGAGGAAGTTGCAGTTGTCATGGGAACTCATAGATAGTGGAGAGCCAAAGAAGCCTTGGCAGCAGACCATGCTGGTACAGCCAGGTCTTGAATTTACCAGGTAGTCTAGACTTGTCAATCTTCCTAACCATTCCTTGGTTTGCTCCACCCTCTTATTGACGTTGGCCCGGTCTGAGAGTGATGCGTTGAACCACTTTCTCAAAAACTTTACTGGGTTTTCTTCAATTCATGAATTGGCCACACCCTGGACATGAAGACTGAATGCTTGCCTTTCCTGATAACCATTCTCCTGGACGTGGTGGTCTTGAAAGACATCATTGGTCTCCTGGAAACATTGTGGATTTTTTTTTTTTTTTTAAATCAGTTTTGTTGACTTTAATGACGTGGCTCTAAAGAACATTTTCCACTTTGGGCTAAACCAAACGGTGCGGTCTCAATTGCCTGGCTCAACACCTTGACTGTGCCCTTTTGTTAAACAGCTCAAATTTGTCACAATACACACACACAGAGAAAACGTAAGACCTAATAGCAATATTTATTACTTACAACCAGTCCAGGCAATAATCCAAAAAGGCAATTGTTGTGGAAATAATTCTCTGTTGTTCGAAAAGATAGGAGGAACAAGACAAGTGGAAACCTCTCAACAGATAAAGTATCAAGAGTTTATTTTCTTGCAAGAAAACAATTCCGAAATTGGCGTTCAACATACAGAACAATGTCTACATGTGAAGGCGAAGGCTAGTCCTTCTCGCCATCCTTATATACCTGAAAACCAAGGAAACCATGCAGGCTATGTCTGGTTTGCAGCAGATTGTCCCCTATGCCGTCTAGCAAGGAAACCTGTTTGCGCTGCTCTTAACTATTCTTGTAAACCATATATTCAATTCAGACAGCACAATGGCGTTTGTGTTAACGTTTCCCGTGTTTCAAGTACAGCTCGACTTCACACCCCAACTCAGCTCTCGGTCGCAACTAATGTTTTACCTCACACCGTTCTGCTTTATCTCTTGTTTGATCAAAACCCTGCACACATACAATTCCAGGGTATGTGTGCTTCTTTGTTAAACACAGAACAATATGTCCTCACACTAAGCTTACATTACTTATGTATTTCTAACAGTTTAGTTATACCTTAAGCTTACTCTAACTTATGCGTTTCTACCAGCTTGTTATATCTTTAATAATGCCCTTTGGATTACATGAACATCTTCCTTTAAATGCTTATGAGTATATGTTAGATGATATGAATATTTTCCTTTAAATGCTTACGAATACATCTTTTCCAAAGTTAGTAAAAGTTACACACACATCTATCACATCTTAATGAAATAAAAGAAAACATATAAAAGAAAATAAACATCGTATATGAAAGAAAAAAAAAACATATATAAATGTAAATGCAAAATTAGCCATTACACAATCCAAAATACAACAAAACAAGAACCAGGCAGATACAAGCAACAGAAGTGTGTTGAACATAAACAAGAACTCTGTGACAAAAACTGAAAAAGACAGGGTATATATGAAGAGTTCAGATGCAAAAGCCTCTAAATGCCATTTGAAATTTTCTTCTTTAATGATGATTTTTATCAAACTTGTATATTTAAGTTCAGTAATTTCACTTAAATAACAATTAATAGGTAATTATCATTGCCATTTAAGTGAAATTACTGAACTTAAATATACAAGTATCTGAACTCTTCATATACACAGACACTAATGACCTAGTCTCGCGTAGCCAGACCTTCAGACTGATGGCTAAAGGCCGATTTATACTTCTGCGTAGGGTGCGCGCAGTAGGTACGGCGTAGCATACGCACAGACGCGTCCCATTGCGCGTACCCTTCGCCGTCGCCTGACGCGCACCTCCTCAAAAATGTAACTACACGTCGCGACGACGCGGACCGCAAGATCGGTGATTGGTCGGCTTGGTAGCATCACATTTCCTCCTACGCATTTCCGCACGTACCTTCTCACGCATTTCCATCACTGTCTATGATTTCCACACGTACCATCTCCTCCGACGTCTTCTCTCATTTCTGCCTTTCAGTTTTAGTAATTTCACTAAAGTGAACTGTTTTTCCACCTCAATAAGCTCCAACTCCAACATGATCCACTCTCTTTCAATCGCTATTGCTTGTAGTACCCTAGCCGCGAGGAATCTAAACACAGTGGAACATTAAAACTCTCCACCGCCAACTAGCGTTTCGGAGCAGTACTGCAGAGCAACAAGACCTGAACGCAGAAGTATAAATGCTCATAACGGCGTCGCCTACGCACATTACGGCGTACCCTCGACGCAGAAGTATAAATTGGCCTTAACGTTAACGTTAGCCAACGTTCCGTGGGCGTGACGTCTGAGGCTGAGACGTGACAGCTGGGTGCAATGAACTCTGATGAGAACCGACAAGGATTGTGGAGAATGTAGTTCCTAAAGTGAATGGCACCATGGTGAAAAGAGGACCTCTAGTGAACACGAGAAAACATAAACCAGACACATTGACAAACTTATACTGTGGGTGTTGCGGACAAAGAGCCCCGCAACCCCACAGGATCCACCAAGCCTGAGCATTACCTACAATAAGCATTTGAAGATTTAACACAGATGTAGTTGCAACATTTATTGAGCATTAAAGGGGGGATTGATTGCGATTTCACTTTTTTGATTTTAAATAGTGTGTAATGTTGCTGTTGGTGCATGAACAGTATCTGCAAAGTTGCAGCACTGAAAGTGTAAGCAAAATGTCTACGTGCTGAACAGCTCGTAGACA